TAGACATAGTTTGGTTGGTTCCCTTAAAATCTTGACTCAAAACTTTAAATGACATCACCTATGCACAGATATGTAAATGGTGGTGTGTGTTGGGGCGGCGTGGCTCTTTAGGGAGAGAATTGGAAGCAAAGCAGCTGAGACAGTAGGAATTCTCCATGGTAGACAATGTGCAGGAGATAGTTCAAGGCCAAGTTCTGCCACTGTGACCATGGACAAGTCTCTTTGACTCCTGGGATGAGATTTCTTACTCTATAAAGTGGGGAGAAAGGACTGGATCCAGGAATCTCTGTGGTCCCTTCCTGCCCAGGTGTTATAATTATGGACTATAGGAAAGCAGACAAACAAGCACTACTCCTGGGCAGGAGGTAAAGGCATCCTTGAAAGAATAGGAAAGGCTTGACTCAGGCCTTGAGGGCCCAAGTAAAAGAGTCCAGAAGCAAGTTCTAGCTCTATATCCGCCTGTTGGCTCATGTGACCTTAGACAAGTTTCTTCCCTCTCTGAACTCATTCTGTACCAATGTTGGTCTAACCTAAACATTAGAGAAATGGCTCTCCAAATGTAGTTTCTGAACCAGCAGCTTCAACAACTCCTGGGAACTTGTTAGGAAGTCAAATTATTGCCAGGCTCAAGCCTGTAATCCCAGCACTTTGGGAGGCCAAGGCAAGAGGATTGCCTGAGCTCAGGGGTTCGAGACCAGTCTAGGCAACTTGGTCAGACCTCGTTTCTACAATAAACCAAAAAATAAGCCAGGCATGGTAGTGCACACTTGTAGTTCTGGCTACTTGGAAGGCTGAGGTGAAAGGATAGCCTGAGCCCAGCAGGTCGACGCTGTGGTAGCTGTGAGTGTGCCACTGCACTCCAGCCTGGACAACAGAGTGAGATTCTGACTAAAAAAAAAGAAAATCAAATTATCAGACTCCACTTCAGATCTACTGAATCAGAGACTCTGGAGGTAAGACCCAGTAATCTGTTTTAAGAAGACTACTAGGTGATTCTGATATACAGTAAAATTTGAGAACTTCATTCCTAGATATTTTCAGACTTTTGCAGTGAGGGAGCACTTTTTAAAAAAAAAGATTAAGTCGATATCTGCCTGGGGAAGGGGGGGACACACCTCATCAGAAAGGGTACCTGCACGGTGAATATTTATATACCTAGCCCTGAATTGTATGCCACAATTTTAAATAAAAATTAAAAGAAGAAAAAAAATTATTAGCTGCGTGTGGTGGCTCATGTCTGTAATCCTAGCACTTTGGGAGGTGGAGGCAAGAGGACTGCCTGAGCACAGGGGTTTGAGACCAGCCTAGGCAACTTGATGAGACCTCGTCTCTACAATAAATCAAAGCTAAGCCAGGCAAGGTGGCACACTACTGTAATTCCAGCTACTTGGAAGGCTGAGGTGGAAGGATCTCCTGAACCCAGTAGATCAAGGCTGTGGTGGCCGTGAGTGTGCCACTGCATTCCAGCCTGGGTGATAGGGTGAGACTCCAATTCAAAATAAATAAATAAGAACAAATAAAAAATGATTTATAACTTACATACAACTTGATGAATTTTTACCTATGTTTATATATATCCTGTAACCATTGCACAAACCAAAAATATTTCCATGACCCCAAAAGTTTTCTTGTGCTTCTTTCCAATCAGTTCTACCCACCCCAGCTCTAAGATATCATATCTACTTTAGAACTTCATATAAATGGAATTATGCGATGTTTATTTTGTCTTTGCCCTTTTTGTATATAATATAACATCTATGAAGTTCATTTATATTGTACGCATCAGTAGTTCTTTGGAAAAATTCCAACTATATTTTTCGTATACTCTCACACCAACACCACAACAATCAACACATAAGATTTCGCAACCCCACAATATGTGAGGATCTCTCCCCACCAGCAAGCAAACAATAAACTCTGCACTAGACACTAGCTGGGTATCCTCCAATTCAATTCTGAAACTATTAGCATCAGATCTCACCAGTTGAGGGTCCAGTTTTCCAAAACTACCCTGCCACCTTTAGACACCAGTCACAAGTCCAGGCCTCCAGAACTTCTGATGGACCAGCTTTAAGTTGGAGTTCCCATGACCCCATTTGGCTTTGATTAATTTGCTGGAGTGGCTCACAAAACTCAGGGAAACACATTTACTCATTTACTATAGAGATTATTACAAAGTAGATGAGGAGATGTGTAGGGTGAAATATGAGGGAAGGGACGCAGAGTTTCCAGGCCTTCCCTGGGCACACCAGCCTCTAGGAACCTGCACTTGTTCAGCTGCCCAGCTCTCCAAACCCTGTCCTTTTGGGTTTTTAATAGAGACTTCATTATATAGGCATGATTAATTAAGTCACTGGCTTTTAAAATCAACTTGACTTTCAGTCCCACTTTCCTCCCAAGAGTTGGGGGATAGGCTAAAAGTCTCAACCTTCTCATCTTGTCTTTGCCTTTCCAGTGACCAGCCCATTCTGAAGCTACCAGCCAATGATTAACATACAAAAAGATATCACTTTGGAGATCCCCAAAATTTTAGGAGTTGTGTGCCAGGAAATGGAGAGGAAGATCAAATACAGGGGGTACCCAAAAAAGTATACACATCTTAAGCAATATTATCTATGTATTACTTTTCAAAGTTGAATTAAATTGCAGTAGCAATGTGTAGTATGATGTTTGCTCAATTTTTTGTTGTTTTTTTTTTTTTTTGAGTTGGAGTGTCACTCTGTCACCCAGGCTGGAGTGCAGTGGCACACTCACGGCCACCGCAGCCTCAACCTGCTGGGCATAGGCAATCCTTCCACTTCAGCCTTCTAAGTAGCTGGAACTATCAAGCATGCTTCTGCCATTTTCTTTGACTGTCCTGCCTGTTGCATGATGATGCTAACATTTATTTAACACCATCTTTGGAGTGAAGGTCATACTTAAAATGTATATATATTTTTTGGCACCCCTATATGTGTTTCACAGTATCACAGTAGCCCATTTATTTCTATTGCTGAGCAATACCCATTGTATGAATACGTCATAATTTTGTCCATCTTCTTGTTAATGAAAGTTTGGGTTGTTTCCAGATTGGAGCTACTGCAAATAGTATTGCTATGCCTTTTGGTGAACATAAGCACTCAATGTTCTTGGATACATACCCAGGAGCACCTCCACTCATTTTTTAAAATGAAATCTTTTCACATACAATTGTAAGAAATAATACAGAGAGATCCAATGTACTCTTTGCTAACATTCTCCCAGTGGTAACATCTTGTAAACTATCCTACAATATCATAACTGGGATCTTTAACATTGATATTGTCAAGATATTGTGGCACCACAAGGATCCCTCCCACTACTCTCACAGACATATCCCCTTCTCACATGCACTCCATCCTTGTTCTTTAACTACTGGCAACCCCTAATCTGTTTTCTTCTCCATTTCTATAGCAATGTCATTTTGAGCATGGATAATTTCAAGAAATGGAGAACAATGTTATAGTGGCTCAAAACAACATAAATTTATTACCTTACAGTTCTGGATGTCAGATGATTTCCTTGACTTTTCCAGTTTGTAGAGGCCATCTGCATTCCTTGGTTCATGGCCACTTCCTCTATCTTCAAAGCCAGCAGTATGCATACTCAAATCTCTCCAACTATGACCTTCCATCTTTTAAGGACTCTTATGATTATATTGGGCCCACTTGGATAATACAGTACCCTCTCTGTACCTTAAAATCCTTAACATAATCATATCCCAAGTCCCTTCTGCCACGTAAGGTAACATATTCATCTATCACATCCATCTTTCTGAAAAAAGTTCATCTGTTTCCCCAACTTTAAAAACCACATTTTTATATATATATATATATATATATATAATATATATAAACATATAAAACATATATATATAATATATATAAACATATAAAAGCACAACATATAAAAACACACATCCTCTGGATAAGGCACTCCTCAAGGCAACGGCAGTTGGTATAGTCATTAGCAGAGACTCTTAAGGCCCACTCCTACAATGATGTTCTAGGGACCTAGGATTCTATCTGGTACCTTAGAACTGAAGCTGTGTGACTGTTTACTCTTCCCAGTACATGCCTGTCCTCCTCCAGGAGGACATACTGAACTCATCAAATATACTGCTGCCCGGATCCACTACCAGAGATTATAATTTGACTTGAGGATGTGGTCTGAGCTTTGAAATCCTTAAAGGATTCTAATGTGCAGACAAGTTTGAGAAGCACTGCATCAAAAGGTTGTTGTGAGGATTTAAAGCTTATAGAACATATAACTTACTTTTCCTTGGAAGTGTTGGCTCACCAAGAAGGGAGCAGGTAAAGAAGAATGCCAGGTCCAGGATGGCCTAGAAGGTTTATTTGGGTCTCAGTTTCCTCATCTGCAAAATGAGGATAACCATATCTAGAATACAAAATGTTTTATGAACTATACAGTACCACCCAATAGCTTTTGTACATGTAGACACTCTTCATCTTCACGTCATACTCCATTCCCCACTGCCTTCTGCAACAGGGTCCAAGGTAGTTTACTGGTTTCCTTGACCTTCACTGGCGCTGCAATAAGTGAGGGTCGTAGGAAGTGGAACAAGCCTAGAGGTCTTCCTAGCAAGGAGGCAGGACAGGACCTGACCACTCCAGGAAGAGTCCTGAGAAACAAATAGTTAGCTTCTAGGTCCCGAAGACAAGCAAGTCCAGGAGCATCACATGATCAATGCAGGACCCACACTCACACTAGAAAAGTTGGCCTGGAGCTGTAGAAGCAGCATAGGTTATTAAGTCAGACAGTCTTGGGAACTTGGACAGTTGTTCTACTTTTGGAGCCCATTTTCTCCCATGTAAAATGTGGATAGTCAGATCCCCTCCTTCCATATAAATGGAGAAAGGATGAAAGGATATCAAGGATGGGAATGTGGTCTATAGAGTAGAATTTGCAGTGAAATATCTTACAGCCACTCACCCATACTACAAAAACAGACTGAGTCACAGTGAAGTCTTCCTAAATTTTATTGGCACTGAAATAGAACATGGGTTGAGCATAAACTCCTCCAAAACCAATTTAAAAAAAAACAAAAAATACACAAAAAAATTGAATACAAATTCTAACCTCTATTCCCAGCCTCCCTAAGGGTGAGTTACTGCCCTTAAGGCAGCTAGATTGCCCCACAATTCCAGGTTTGAATTTAGTCAATATAAGGCATATCACCAAGTAAGTGTCAATACAATTTACAGCAATGCACACAAGACTCCACAAGGTCAGGTGTAGGGTAGGGGAGTGGGCGGAAAGGGGGATTGATGGAGGCTGTGGGCTAGGGGGCACTGCATGAAGGGACAGAATGGCCCCTTGGGGACTGAACCCTGGGGAGAAGGCAAACAAGAACAATAAAACCAACTATTAAGAGTGGATTGTATGACCTATAGTGACAGATGACATCACTAATACTGAAAGCTTCTTACATTAATATTTATGGCAAAATATCTTTTTGTAATATAGTATATGCTTCTCAGGTATGAGGGTGGTAAAGGAATGAGGCCAAAGTGATCCTGCCCTGAGACTAATATCTTCTAATGGTGCATTAGCAAGAAAGGCAGAAATCAATACTGAGTTAGATATCACTAGAATACATAATCCTGGTAGAAAGAAAAAGAGCACACATGAGACAGAGGGGTGGAGAAGGCTGCTCCTGGGTTGAGAGGAAGGGGTGGGCATGTGGAAGGGACCAGGCCAGAAGTCCCAGCAGCTCTCTGGTTTATAGCTTCAAGAGACAGCACAGCTGGTAGCAAGACCTGGGTCAGAGATTTGTCAAACAGAGGCAGGGCCCAGTCATCACACTGGAAGGGGTAATGGGAAAGAACTACTGGGAACCTGAGAGGGTTGAGTAAACTGTGAAGTCAGGGACACAGGTTTCTCTCACCACACTCAGCTTCTTCCACTTACTCCTCAATTGAGCCTACTGGCATCGAGCTTTAAGGCTCACCACACCAAGGCCCAGATGACTACGAAGCAGGAACTGTAACCCAAGTAGCTCTGATGAGGGAAGTGACCTAAAACTCCTGGCAGGGAAAATACTGAAGCCAGGTGTGAACATTTCCTCCCTTTTGGCAAGAGTCCTGATGAGGCTGGTTGAGCTTTTGAGTACTTATCCCTACTGTCCTAGCTGGAGGGGATTTGGGGATTGGAGGGGTAGGAGCAGATCCCAAGAAGGGACCAGGGACCTGGAATAATATGTAAGGGGTACCTCTGCCCACAGAGCTCACTTGAGACAGGCATAGGCTCCCATAAGGCATTGGGGCAGGATCTTCTACTCAGCCTTGCCAGAATAAAAGGGCAATGCCCTGCTAGTATGTTGGTGAAGCCTCTTGAAGGCACTGTCTCCCCCATCTTACCCTGGGGAGAAACTGAGTCCCTAAACTCAGGGACAAGGCTATTGGGACTGAGTTTGTAACAGGCCCAATCTGGGAGGTAGAAACAAGAATGAGTGAACGTCTCTTTATCTTCCAATCATTACAAAGCCTAAATAATGCTAAAAGGGGTGGGCATTGAGAGGTCAAATCCTAGAGCAGATTATCAGGGCCCTGCCTCTTTCCCTAAACCCTGTGATACTCCAGTCCTGCAAATCACAGGACCCTAAAGGGGAAGGCAGTCGTGGGGCAGGGAAGGATAGCTAGTTTTCAACTTACTCCATACTTGACTCCCATAGGACAACAGTTTAGTTTGGGGGTTTTTGCCAAATCAAGTGGGAAGTGCCTCTAAGCTAAGAGGTATATTCTAGCAAGAGAGATTAAATGGGACAGAAAAAGGAAAGTGGGTCCCATTGGCACCATAATGAGCCATTTATTTGCCCAGGAAAGTGAGTGGGAAGTAAGGAGCTAGGTTTGGTCCCATGGCTGCACTGAATGCTTGGCATGACTCCAGGGATGCTCTAGTTAGTGGCTCCAGCACAGCATGAGTTAGGTCAGGGTGCAAGAGTGTGGGAGTAAGGAAGAAGGGAGAAGGGGTCCCTAAAGGCTGGATGCCCATTACATGGACTCAAACTCATCAATACGCTGCTTTGTGTTGCCCTGCCGGATCTGGCGCAGGGTCTTGTATTTGTCTCGGCCCAGTCGCATGTTCTCAGCATGGATCATGTCATTGGCAGTCTTCTTAGACTCATCTCGGGCATTGGCCAGCTCTGAAGTGAGGGCCTGTGAGGGTTCAAGGGGACACAGGGATCAATGGCTTTCTCTCATTTTACCTTCCCTTGTTTGACCAGATTGATCTTCTCTTTTGTTTCTTTCTCTTGTCTACCCCTCTCATTCCCTCTTTCCCCACCTCCACACACATATTAAGAGTCATTTCGAGCCCTGTTAGGACTGAAGTGGGGCAATATTTTTTTAAACACATCAACTCAGAGGTCTGTGATAATGGGTATTCTCTGAGAATAGAACAACATACCAGATTCTGGTAGGAATTTTGTCAGCTAAATATTTTCTGAATATAAGAGGTGAATGAAGTAGAGGTGGGAGATGGGGCAGAGAACAAATCCCCAAAATGGAAGAGGTGTCACAGGGTCTGATTAATAAGCAAGAGGTGCCTACCCTTAAAAGGGTCACTTGAGATAGGTTTGGACTCTTGTACAGCACTGGGACAGGTTCCTATATCTATGCCCCACGATGGTCTAGGGAAGGCCATGGGCCATGAAGTCAATACACACAGTCCCTTTGACCTTTGGCCCTGCCTGGATACCTTCAGGTGCTTCTGCACACGTTCATTCTTCTCTGCTTCAGTAGTGCGTTCCTCCTCACTGCGGTCCTTGGCCATAGCATCAGCACGCAAGTCAGCACTGGCCTCTGCTCCATTCTCATCCTGTTCATCCTGCTCATTCTCAGCAGGTTCTGCCACATGAGGAGTACTCATGGCAGTCTTCAGTTCGGCACGGGTCTTCTCCAAGTCTTCCTGTACCATCTGGGCCTGTCCAGTGACAGAAGGAGAAAAGGGTCTTTAGTCAGATCAGGTAACCTGTGGCAACCTGTGTGTGCCTAGAACAGTCTGTCAGAAGGCAGGTACAAGGTTGGACAAGTTGCTTCACCGGTCTGATCCTTAGTTTCCTTGGCTATAAAACAGGAGCAATTGTACCAATTTCCCAGGGGTATTGGGGAATTCTGGGAAGCATTTAGAAAGACTTGCATGCCTTCTCCCAAGATACCTGCTGTTGGAAGGAAGGAAGGGGGAGGGAGCCCACACCTAAAGAATCTAAGGAACTGAAACCTATGCGTGTGGTACCCATTTTCTTAATGCTTAGCTCTAAGCACCATGTCTTACCTTTTGCTGCCACTCCACAGCCTCACTTTCCTTCTTCTGTCGGGCCATCTCCAGCTGGGAGATCCGAGCTGTCAGTTCCGCCATTTCCAAGGCCTATGGATAAATTGGAAGCTTGTGAGAGCTGGGCCTTCTGGTCCTCAGGGCCCAGATGCCTTCAACTCCAGTTCCCCTGGTGAACCAGAAGGAAACCTGCTGATCCACTGGCTTGCTACCCTGGAGACTCTTTTTACCAGACCATTCTAGTCCCATCTTCTCCACCTCCCCACCTAGACTGTAGGCCTCCTGAAGACATACAATATGTCATCTCTGCCTCTTCCTCATATCTCTCCCTGTTCCCCTCTCAGTATTGCCAAGTATGCAGTTAGGGCCTCAATAAAGCTTGGGTAATCAGTATTGCCAAGTATGCAGTTAGGGCCTCAATAAAGCTTGGGTAATCACTGGGTCACTTCCTAAAGTGGCAGGTCCTTTCCTGCTATCTTAGAATGCTCAGGGTTCCACTAAGACTCTTACCAGAACAAGTACAGGAAAGACACTCAAGAACCACAAGACATTCTGAACAAGGAAAAAAGCTTATTAATACCTGTATACCTTGGGTAAATCTCCCATGACAGCTTCCTTCTGGGAGATAGACCTTAGTTGCTTCTACTCCTACCTCAAATATGTCAAGGAAATTGGACCATAGCTTCTTAACTTACGAGTCAGAGTACTTGGAAATTGTGATAAAAGAATGGATGCCCACTTCCTCCCTCCCCCCAAAAATGCACCGACACATAGTTTTACGTGTGACTTCAGGGAACAAATTCTTCAAATAGAGGCAGAAATGGGTTGTAATCCTTACTCAGTCACACTGTGTGACCTTTGGCAAGTTTCTTAACCTCTCTGAGTTCTAATTTCCTTATCTTATCTTATCCCAAATGGGGCTAATCCCATAGTGGTACTGGAAAGAGGAATAAGAGAATAAGAAAAAGGGAAACACAGCTAACATATCAATACACAGTAGAAACTCAGTTAAGTGTGAGTCCCTTTGCTTCTTTCCTCTATCCCTTTACTTTGTCAGGTGATCAGCTCAGATCCCTAAAGGCTAAGAAAGCGAACAAAAACTAAGCGAACAAAAACTAAGCGTTAGTGAAGATTGTTTGCCAACATTTCTAGACCATGCCAGTGACTTTTCAGCTTGCTTCTGAATGACCTATCTGCTACAGGCCTGTGAAATGGTAGCCTGCTGGAAAGCCAGCCTTGTAGACAGAGATAGATATAAATAGGTAGGCACATAAAAAAGAAAACTCAGGTCCCACAGTCCCAGTCCATCCTCCAGCGTTACCAGTTGTTCCTGAGTCTTTTTCTGGTCCCGGGAGGCCTGCAGCAAGGCCTCCTTGGCCTCTTCAGCTTCTTGACGCTCCTTGGCCAGCTTTTCAGCCTCACTCTGGGCACGCTTCCGTTCTTGCTCAAGTTCCAGGGCCCTACGGGTCTGTTCTTCCAGTTCTGAGTGGAAAAGGAGTGAGGAAGGCAGTGAAGAACACAGAAATGAAGCTGACACACTAGTTTCCTTCCTGGAAATGCTCCCTTCCAGGGCACAAGCTGGCAGAAGGTTCTGAGCCCTTTGCTTTCCCCATTCATCATCTATTCTGTGTCCACACCTGAACTATATGATCTGCATCTGCAGCTCAGGCAGAAGATTCTCCAGTTCACAGAGTCAGTCTCTGAGGAAATTCAATTTCCAAGGTGAAATCAAACCTCACCTTGCTGAGCCTTCTTAGTTTGTTCCTCAATCTGCTTCAGCCTCTCCATCAGTTCCTCCTTCTCCCGTTCAATCTTCTCCTTTTCCTTTTCTGCCATCTCACGTTTCTTCTTCTCATTTTCTAGTAGAGCACTAAGGAAGGAGAAAAAAGGGATGAAATAGGATAGCAAGGCTTCATGAAAGTCTGGGGAGTCCCAAGGCTCCCTAGTTCTGGGGCCTTCAGCCCCTACCCTTCCAATACACGCAGGGCTTGTGAACTCGGGCCATTCTCCCTCACCTCCACATCCTTGTCCTCATATCATAGCCCCATGTGAACCAGTGTACTCAGGGCCTCGTCAGTTTGCCCTGAGTCAAGAGACCCAAACTGGAATCCTAGCTCTGCCAGTAACCCACTGGGTGACCTTAGCTTTGTTGCTAATTTGCTCTTGTCCTCAGTTACTCCATCTGTAAGACAGTTGAAGTTCTGCTTTATCTTCATTGTGGAGTTATAAGGAGACAAACTTTGGCTTCATTCTGGGATACTGTGCTTCAAGTCTGGTAATCTCTGTGGCTACAGCGTCAGTTCTCAGGTCTAATTCTGCCTACTCGAAAGTCCAATTCTTGGCTCCCTTTTCCCAGAATTTGTTGCAAATATAGAGTAAGTATTTACTTTTTATTTCCCCAGCATCTCTTCCAGGAAGTCTTGTCGCCCTTGGCTAAATGTCTTTTCTCCTTCTGGGTCCTCAGAATACTTGGCTTACCTTTCTCCTCAACCCTCTTCCTTTTCATTTATTTCCATAGCACTTTGTATCATCTCACATACCATGTAATTTGCCCATTTGCTAAGTCCATCTCCTCCCACTAGAATGCTAACTTCATGAGAACAGGATTTTTAAATCTATTTTTTTCTCCCTCACTGCTTAATAAATATTTGCTAAGTGAATGAATGACATGGCCTTTTTACTCTATGCATATATTCTCTCCCTTATGACTCTGAAGTCCTAGAGGACAGGTTCCTACCAGATCCAGCTCTGTAAACTACCCCCCAATCTTGGTAAATTTTTCAGAATAAATGTGAACTTACTCTTCATGACAGAGTACTCGTAAAGCAGTGCTCCTCAAACCTTAACATGAATAGGAACTCTTGAGATCTTTTAAAATAATTTGAGGTGAAATCCACACAATATAAAAAGATTTTAAAGTGAACAACTCATTGACATTCAATATTTTCACAATGTTGTACAACCACCACCTTTTTCTAGTTTCAAAATACTTTCATCACTCCAGAGTAAAATCCCATACTCATTAGGCAGTTTCTCCTTAGTTTCTCTCCTCCCCAGCCCCAGATAGCCACCAACCTACATTTTCTTTCTAAAATTTTTCTATTTTGGACATTTCATATAAATGGAATCTCTCAATATGTGATTTTTCATGTCTGGTTTTTTTCACTTAGCATAATGTTCTAGAGGCTCATCTATGCTATAGCATGTATTAATACTTCATTCCTTTTTATGACTGAATAATAGCCCATTGTATGTATATACAATTTGTTTACTTATTTATCCACTGATAGACATTTGGGCTGCTTCCACCTTTTGACTACTGTACGTGCTGCTATGAACAGGCATGTGTATATGTTTTCAATTCTTTGGGGACTATATTCAGGAGCAGAATTGTGAGATCATATGGTAATTCTATGTTTAACATTTTGGAGAACTGTAATATTGTTTTCCACAGTGGTTGAACCATTGTACATTCCCATAAGCAATGTATATGAGCTCCAATTTCTCCACAACCTCACCAACACTTGCTATTTTCCATTGTTACTTATTATATCCATACTAGTATGTATGTGTGAAGTAGTACCTCACTGTGGTTTTAATTTACTTTTCCCTAATGATTAAAGATATTTTCACATGCCTGTTGGATACCTGAAAATCTTCTTTGGAGAAATGATCACCCAGGATCTTAAGACACAGATTCTGAATTAGTAAGTGTGGTATAGGGTCTCAGATTCTGCCTTTTTACCAAACAAATTGCCAAGCTGATGCTGCTAAGCCTCAGGTTACTTTAAGTAGCAAGGGACCATAGTGCAAGGACTAGGGGCTTTTAGAGAAAATTCTGGTGGCTCTGCCCAATTATGCTAAAAAAATGTTCTACAGAATCCAAGTTTAAATATGCATGGAGACCTCTACTATGTCACTATACTGGTCAGTCAGTCCAGAACAACCCAGAGTTTGCTTAGCACAGCAATGGTGTGACGGATATAAACAATGGGAACTATAAAATGTTCTTCCCTTCTGTAAGTCTCTGAAATCCTAGGCTTCTCATGCCTGCTTCCCAGAAATGGTGATGCCTGGACTGAACGGATGGGAGTGTCACCCTTCATAGCTCACTCTCTCCCAGTCCTAAGGTGGCTTCATGCCCTGCTTTAGCAGCCTGGGTACTTTTGAGGAGCTTCCTTGCACTGGCCCTGACTCTGGCCCCTACTCTACCTCTGTAACACCTACCGCTCCATCTGCTTCTGGTGCTTCTCCTCCCGGGCCTGTGCCTTCATCTGCTGCACCTCAATGGTGTCAGGCTTGCGACGGCGCATGTACAGCTCATGGTTCCCCATGCACAGGGCCAAGATACGCTTGTTAATCCGCAGCCGGGGAGCATAGAAGACGAAGTCCTGGTGGGAAGACAGCAATCAGAAAAAGTTTGGAGGGACAAGTGAAGGTGAGCTTCTGCCTTCTGAAAAGCTAAGTCCAAAAGTACTGGGAGGATTATGTAGTCCTATCTTTGCATTACAAATGAAAAGATTAATTATCAGAGGGGTGAAGTGACTTGCCCAGGATCAGACAGAAGGTCAAGTGGCAGACCCAAGACTAGAAACCCAGGTTTCCTGACTCTGAAACCAGTGCTCCTCCCACTAAACCCTAATTTCTTTAAACCTTTGCTTATGAAAGCACCTTAAATCCTTTGTTAAGTTGAAGGATCTAAACTGTCTTCTTCTGCTAATTCAGGATCCTGCTGGGTATCAGGGGACTTCTTTTAGAAGCCAAATGATCCCTGCACAATACCCCAGTATGGGTGGCTGGACTATTTCTGTAATCTCCTAAAAGCATATCCTAGACCCAGTCCCTTAGATCCTTTTTGGAACAAGATAGGCTGTAAATAGATACACAAATACATAAACCTCCTGAGCACTGATTGCCTAGGTTATTTTTAAAAAATAGCCCTCGATCTCAGCTGGCTTTGTTACTTACCTTTTTCTGATGAAAGTTGAACATAGCAGCAATAAAGGAAAACAAACAAGAAAATCCAGTGAGTTTGAGTTTGTTATTACAGGTGCCACTGGACCAAAGTCACCAGCTGACGAGCTAGCCACCTACTCTGCCACTAACCCCATATTGCTACTCTCTTCTTAATAGCTGGGGGTGTGGTGGAAGGAGCACAGGCTCTCAAGGTCAAATGACTTAGGTATAAATCCCAGCTCCACCATTTTTACCTGTGTGATCTTTGGCAAATCACTCCATCTCTCTAAACCTCAATCTCATCAGCTATGAAGTGAGTGTGTTACTCACTGACCATGTTGTTGAAGGTTTACGAAGACAATATATATAAAGTCCCTAGCAGGGGGAATTCAGACACCTCAGGGCTAGAGAAGAATGGTAGTATCCTCATAAAAAGTGTCAGGCTCAGTATGGTCACTGGCTCTTGTTGGACATGAGGTATTATGAGAACAGTAGACCCTCAACTCAGTTTTCTATCCTACCCTTAATCAACAGTTATACAGTCTTGCTAGCAGCAGACAACTGAGTGGGTGAGAAGTATGGTGAGTATGTTAGAGGAATGACTGGACCCAATGCATTTTCTTGGTTTGAGGTTGCTCTGAAGAGAAGTCTGAGAATGCAGCAGTAAAACTATGCCAAAAAGCAAATTTGGAGGATTATCTTTGGATTTGGACTTCTCCTGGCTCTTCTCTTTGTTCACAATTAAGGATAAATCAAATATGTGAACATGTCCACTTTCTGGGACCCAGGAACTTGAAAAGATGACATGCACACTCTGTTTCTACCCCAGATAGCAGAAGAAAATGGCTAAAAAGCAGTATATAATACTGCCTGTGGCTCTCCCTATTCCACAGTGAGGGAGACAGGGAGCAGGGTGGCACCAGCTACAGGATATCTTCTGGCCATTTCTTGGCATCAACATCCCCTTCCATTCCTAATCTCCATGTGCTTCCTATTCATGCATGTACATGCGAGTACACACACACACACACACACACACACACACACACACACACACACACACACACAATCAGAAAAGGGAGAGAAAAATACAAGGACCTTGTTCATTACCCAGGCTTTGGCAAGTACCTGCCTTGGCCAGAGGGAGGAATCACTCACCGGGGCTTTTTTGTCAATGGGCTTTATGACAAATTTCTTATCATTGAAAGAGATGTTTCTGATTTCACTCCAGGGGAAGCCTATCTTGGGAGTCAGTCTGTAGAAATGGAGACCAACAACATAAGGACAAGGGTAAAACAAGAAGGACATAGACAACTGGTACCTTGCCCTCACTCTCCCCGCCCCAAAATTCTTCCTTGTACAAGTACATTCAGTGCTAACTCAGCCAGTGTCATAACATGCCACCAGGTCAGCTGCCAGCACTAAGGGCACACAAAGGACCTCCTGATACCATAAACAACATATGATTCCTGTCCAATCTCTGAGGCTTGTTATGTTATACTTTCAGCTAAGACATGGACCTTGTAACAAATCCTCAAGAGAATCCCTTATTTAACTGAGACTCTTCTACTCAAGGTTGTAAAAATTGAGGAGAAGGTAAATAATGAACTCCGAGATTCAGGAGTTATATGGAACAATAATCTACTGATCTCCATCATCATCAAGAGCAGACAAAGGGAAAAAATGTAAGCAAGTGAGATAAGGATACACTGAGAGGATTATAAGCCAAATGTCACTTAATTATCACATAAGACTAACTACAAATTCCGACAAGGTAGGTTCTAGGCCAGCACTGTCCAACAGAAATGTAATGAAAGTCACATATATAATTTAAAATTTTCTAGTAACCATATGAAAATAAGTAAAAAGAAATAGGTGGAATTAATAATAATAAGTTCAATTAACCCAATATATTCAAAATACTATCATTTGAATAGTTTAAGAATGTTAATGAGACATTTTAGATTCTGTTTTTCACACTAAGTCTTCTAAGTCCAGTGTGTAGTTTATACTTATTGTACATCTTAATTCAGAGTAGCCACATTTTAATTATTCAATAGCACCATTTGGCTAGTGGATACCATAATGAACACTGCAAGTCTAATCAATATAGGATTTAGAGGCCTGAGGGAGGTTGTGAAATCATCTGGGCTGGACTAAATTACATAGAAAAATAACTGAGGTGAGACTCAAGAGGTATAGTCCTGTTCCATGGTGAAGGGAGAGCCCTAGAAGTCAGAGTGGCTCCAATAAACTAAGAGGGGTCTGAGGTATACCTGTCATTTTGCTCATAAATGTTGAGACCCAGGGCATCTACTCCAAGCCACAGCTCTGAGCCTTTCTTGTTTTTGATGCTAAAGTAGTTCACACCATACATCTCCAGATCTTGAGCAATCTTCAGATATTCCAGGACAGCATCTTCCCTAAATGACACAAAGAAGGGTACCACAGAGGGCAGCCTGTGAATCAGACCCAGGGATACAGGAAGCCTGCTTAATCTGTACTTCTGACAAGGATCTTACTATCAAGAGTGGGAAAGGGAAGCAGATATTGGAGAACATAGCACAACATGACTTTTGTCAAGCAAAACCTGTGGATAACCTAGGGTCTGATGCTCCCAAATGGAATAAGGGTGGCCTCTGGCATGTTAGCTGCCATAGAAGCAATTTTCTCCCTCCCATTCATTAGCAGAGCTCAGATAAAGTGATGATGGCAAAATGATGAGACAATTCTCAAATGTTTTGGCACGTTCAAGAGCCCCGTCCCCATTTATTTCTTGGGTAGGAGCCCTTGGTGGCCCAGCAGCTCCCTGAGGATCCTGAGATCCCTTCCATTCCTTTATGATCAAAAACATTTGGGCTACAATTCACCAAAGTAAACAAACAAAAAACAACTTTATAATGGTCTTGATTTGCTTTCTATCTTTAGTGTCAGCATCATTCCTGCCCTTCTTTCTCCAGCATCCACCAGTATCCCTAGTTGTCTGTCTCTTCTTCACAGAGCCCATTTTTATTCTCCCTGTAAGAGCGGTGGGACTCACGGCTGCTAGAGTGTGCTTACCTGAGCATGCCCCGGTGTTCCTCATGCCACACTTGAATCCGCTCCTCCCACTGGTCCTTATTGAGTTTGTGCTGCTCCAGGACTCTAGAAAGACAATAGGTGATGAGTAGTTTAAAGCACAAAGTCCATGTACAGGAGGTAAGGGAAGCCCACTTAGCTCTCTACCAAGTTGATGCAAAGAGGATGTGAAGTCAGTCCATTGAAGTTACACTAGAAGATTGAAATTACAGCAGGAAGGTATTAAATTAGACACATGAAGCTGCTTAAAAGGTTGGAGAGCTATAAGAGTTGATGATCAAAAAAGACAATGGGAACACCTTTTGTATCTTTAACCAGAAAATCCCATAATGTGCTAATATGGTCCCCAAGCACAACAGTAATATCTCAGGAGTAATCTGTGTTGATTTAGGGGGCTAAGAGTAGGGATGAGCCTCATGGAGCCAGGCACACTCTCTCCCAGATCCCCTCCGGACCAACATTTTGTGTTTATAAGAACATTGCTTAGAGGCTAGGCGTGGTGGCTCACGCCTATAATCCCAGCACTTTCGAAAGATTGCTTGAGTCCAGGAGTTCAAGACTAACCTCGGCAACATAGTGAGACCTTGTTTCTACAGAAAGTCAAATAATTAGCCAGGCATGGTAGTGCATGCCTATAGTCCAGCTACTCAGTTGGCTGAGGCAGAAGGATCACCTGAGCCTAGAAGGTTGCATCTACAGTGAGCCATGATTGTGCCACTACACTCCAAACGGGACAAGACTACTAAAAAAAATACTGCTCTGGGATAAGAATACTGCTCAGACATGAGAGGACAGCCTTTGGCTATAGAACAAAGAATTGAGCTAAATGTCTTTGGGAAAAACCAACAGGCCCAACCTCCCAGACCTAGTAGATTGTAAATAAGGCTTGCTTTAAACACATCATCTCAGATATCATGGCAATGACTCAGAAAGAGTCTCAGAGCACAACCACTATCCCTAGTAACTTATGGTGGGTTGTGCATATGCCATATCTCCAGTGGGACTGGGGCTCAAAAGAAGCAAAGCTTTTCTTTCTAATTCAAAAGTCTATGGAAATAGCCACTAGCTGCAAGGAAACAAAACAAAATAAACAGAAAAACAGGGTTAAAATATTAAGAGACTAGGGTTCCAGGTCTGGCTTTGCCTCAAATGACCTGTGGGAGATGGGGCAAGTCCGTTTGAGTAACTCTGCACCTCTATTTCCTCAGTCAAGAAATAAGGATAGTGCCCATCGTATTCATTTCATGTGTTGTGATGCCAACACAAAAATAACGAGTGTGTGAGAGCTTTCAACTATGAAGTTTCAAAAGCAGAAAGTTTGGCACACTGATTATCAATATTAAGAAAAATTATTTGAGCTTCCCAGGTCCTTGGCTTGCATATTTCTCTCAATCCTCTGCGAACTTCTGATATAAAAGGGCTAAATCAGTGAAAAGAATTGAGAAAATGCAACCAGGGAGGGGGAGAAGAAATCAGTCCATCTTTGGTTCTATATAAGCACCCCTGCCTCAAGGGAAATAAATTTCTGTAATCAGGTAGACACAGGGGGCAAAAAGGCTTTTTATTTGGAAAACCAGATAAATAGCATCAGGGTATGACACGATATGCAAAAGTGTTTATCTTTGCTGTATAACATCATCTTCAGACAAACCCTAGTGCAGACAGCCACTGTGGGGCAGGGATTTGTCAGTCTTGAGTTGAAGCCCCCTCTGGTCAAGGCAAAGGAGGCCAGGGAACCACCTCACCTCTGTGGCAGCAACTTGTCTCCAGCCAGGTAGCCAGACTTGTGCACCTCTTTATTGAAGTCGCCATACTTGGACTGGACAGCATAGGAGGCCAGCAGCACAGCTGTCTCAGGCGGACAGTAAATATCATCATTGAGAATGCCCTCTTTCACTTGCAGAAAGAATAGGCGCTGGGTGATGTCCTGGATCAATTCCTCAGATACATCCTCAGGGTAGAACTTGGCCCGGAATTTGAAGAGCAGTGGGCTTTCCTTCCGTACATCCTGGGCAGTCACCTAGGAGCAGCAGGTGGTTATGGGTGCTCAAAAAATAGGTTTTAGAGGTGGGGGAGTAGTTGTAGAGTGGGGAGAAAACACTGAAAGTTCATCAATTTCAGTAATTTTAGAGAGCCAGGTGGCAGCCCTCCTGGTAATTCAGAAAAGAGGCACAATACTTTTCTTGGGGACCCAATCCCATGTCTATAATCACTCTCTGTTGGGAACTTCTTCCTGAAATTCCATAACACATGATTAACAGTCAGAAGCTCTCAAACCACAATTATATGACAATATATCCAACTGTTCCAAAATTTTAAGCATAGGCATAAGCTCTTCTTTCAAGTCTCCTCCAATTCCATAAATCAGCAAAGTAAACACTAGAATGTATAACCATGGCCTGAGAATTGGCTATGAAAGAGCACAAACTAGAGTCAGCCACAACACCAAGATGAAAGACTGCCAGGTTCCCACAGAGATGCTGCTTGGAGTGGAGAGTTTGAATGGACCCAAACCACTGAGATGGAAGATTAAGAAGGAGGGAAGCATCTGTTCAGGGATCCAGGCATCAGTTGACTGGTGTGGAAGGGGCATGATAAAACTATGAGAACTTTTAAGAATTTTTTCAGCTGGGCTCGGTGGCTCAGCCTGTAATCCCAGAGCTTTGGGAGGCCGAGGTGAGTGGACTGCCTGAGCCCGTGGGTTTGAGATCCACCTGGGCAATTTGGCGAGACCTCATTTCTACAATAAATCAAAAATTAGCCGGGCATGGTAGTGCGTCCCTGTAGTTCCAGCTACTTAGAAGGCTGAGGTGGAAGGACTGCTGGAGCCCAGCAGGTCGAGGCTGCAGTGACTGGGAGTGGCCACTGCACTCCAGTATGGGTGACAGAGTGAGACTCCAACTCAAAAAAAAAAAAAAAATTTTTTTCTAGTTCTGCCAGGCATGGTGGCTCATGCCTGTAATCCTAGCACTTTGGGAAGCCAAGGCAAGAGGGTTGCTTGAGCCCAGGAGTTCGAAACCAGTTAGACTTTGTCTCTACACGAAAAATTTTTTAAAAATTAGCTGGACATGCACCTGTTAACTACTTGGGAGGCTAAGGCAAAAAGATCGCCTGAGCCCAGGAAATCAAGGCTGTGGTGAGTTGTGATGGTGCCACTGTACTCCATTCTGGGTAACAGAATGAGACTCTGACTCAAAAAAAAAAAGATTTTTTTTTCCAGTTTAAGAATCTATTGCTCTTTTTTTTTTTTTTTTACAAATCTCCTAGAGCCCTTGAGTTTGGAAAAGAGAAGTGGAAGCCAATCCTCTCCTGAAGAGCCACTAATAATGGCTTTAGTATAAAAAAAAAAAAAAAAGTCAAAGTTCAAGATAGAGCCCCCAGTGGGAAGGAAATGATCTTTTCTTCTGTGAATGGTGGCCATTTTTACTGTCAGAAGTCAAAGTGGAAACAGAACAAGAGTTTTGTCTTGGCTGAGTCTTCTGCTCTTATTCTGATCAGAATACAACCCTAGGTACCTATATTTTCCACTTAGCAAACTCTGAGCAAGTTCTGGTAGACAAATGAATTCTAAACCTGACAGAGAAGTAAGCAGTTACCTTCTTATTGAGTTTCAGCCAGGTAGAGAAACCTTTAGTGTCTTGATACTGCAGACCAAAGAACCAAACTTCCCTCAGGCCAATGGTTTTCACCACCTAAAAGAGAAAACACAAAACAATTATTGATTATCTACCTTGTGCCAGGCACAGAGGACACAAAGGTTGGAGCCAGCATGGTCTCTCTCCTTAAAGGGATTAAGATGCTCAGGGTCTGGCAAGAAAATATACTTGGGAAGCAGTCAAGAACTAATGTCAGCATCTCTGGGCACAAAGTACTGTTGAGGTAGGAAAGGGACCTATTATTTACGAACACTGACACACACCAAAAACCTTATATCCATTAACTCCTTTAATTTTTATAGTAACCCTTTGATAGAATTAAAATTAAGCCTATTTTACAGATAGCAAAAGTGAGGTTCAGAGAAGTAAAATGATTTGCCCAAGGTCCCTGTAGTGCGTAGCAGAGTTAGGATTCAAGCCAGGTTTGTTTGACTCCAAATCCACTTACATTCAGTGATTTCTGCCACCTCCTCTCTCCCTCTACAATGACTTGCAACTTCCCACTTACAGGATGAACTAAAAACTGAAGGTGGAAATTGTTGGATTAACTCCAGCATCTTGTCCTCCTGGGTTGCTCCCATATATTGTCTTTTATCCCTAGCAAAGGGGAGTAATGCCCGCAACCTTAAGACTGAGTCCCACTTACAATACCCCAAAAAAAGAATGTTTGAGAAGACAAAACAGAGGCTGTGGTATATATATATATCCTGAAACTGCAGTTTCTGGGTGTTAAGACGGTTTTTTCCAGCCCTAATCAGAGCCCAGTCATGATTCCCCTTATAATCACACAGGTTGAGGGTAGAAATGAGAATAAAAACAGGATGGGTACCTCAGTGTAGTAGCTGAGAGGCCCCCTGTTGCCCTGGGCCTTCTGGCTCATCAGCTGATCAGCAGGCAGGAAAGAGAGGCATGTCAAAAGAAGACAGATGGGTCTGTCCCTGACATTAGCATGTTAATGGGCTGGCTGTCAACTCAACCCTAGCATGCCCACCACTGGGCATGGTGGGAGTGAAGCTGAGTCACATCCTAATGAGGTCAGGTTGGCATCAGGCAGTCTTCTTTATCCTTTATTTGGGGGTATGAAAGTAGGGGATTAAAACGAGGAGAGTAGAGAATCTAAGAAATGTACCAAGGACCCAGTGTTGCTGATATCCTCTCCTGTGAACAAATTAACATTTTCCCTCAAAACAGACACACACATACTCCAACACTGCACCCACAAGGTTTCCATTATTCATCCAAAGGCAGGTCCCATAGTCACATCTAGAGTTTACAATCTAGAGCTTCTGAGGCCCAAAGGAAAAAGTAATACATATTTATTAAGCACCTATTATGTGTCAGGCACTGAACGCTAAACTATCCTGTAAGATAGCAATTATCCTCATTTTATAAATGAGAAAACAAAAGCTTAGAAGGTAACCTTTCTAAAATCAAAGTCACAGAGCCCTGATGTATCTGACTATAAAGCTTGTACCTTTTCTTCTCTAGCATGCTGTCTCCTAATGTCAAGGGATCACAGGAGCTTAGGATTCCTGGGGTTCTCAAGTGACTCACTGCCTTATCTCTCTTTTGGCCCAGATATAAACTTTGACCACCTCTGCATCTACATATACTTCCTGGCTTTCCCATTAGGCCCAGGCAATGACCACTCCGGAGAGAAGCCATGACCCTAAGTAATCAATCTTCATTGTTCACGAGATCATCCTTCCCTTTCATAGCTTGAAACCTGAGTGAAAGTTTCACTTTTGTCTCCAACTAGCTGCGTGATCATTTTTTTTTTCTTAAGGAAAATTGTCTCTTGCTCTGGTGTTCCTTGTTCCTTTTTGTTGTTTTTTTTAAAATTTCAATAAATTTAGAGGATACAAATAGTTTTTGGTCTAGGCTTTAAGAGTATAGCTGTGTGATGTTATGGTAGCACATTTCCCTCTCTGAGATTCAGCTTCCATATCTATCTAAGTTGGGAGTATGGCTTCAATGACCGCTTTCTTCCCTTAAGTTCTGTCATTCTACCTATTCAGTTACAAGGTTATTTTGCAAATGGTTAAGAAAAACAATCTTGTTTCCCACCTCTTGCTGACTTGGGTAATTAGAAAAGGTAAGTGGGGTAGAGGGTGATTAGAAAAGATCAAAAGGCTTCCAGGATTCAATGATCTGGTGAGTCCCTGACTCTAAGTCGAGCACCAGAAAGTTATATGGAGAAATGTGAATGCTTATGATGAAATGTGATATTGGCTTTTTGCAGAGCATGGAGGAGGTAGGTGGGGCGTGGACATAAAAGATATTTTAAGGCGCCTTTTAGCTCATCATAGATCTAAGATTGGACTCAATTAACTGTTCAAATGTTTTCCACAGGGTTGCAGAATAGTGTGTCCGGATGCAATTGGTGGGAAAAAGTTCTAAAAACAATCCAGCTGAGAGAGAGGCACACACACACACAGAGAGAGAGAGAGAGAGAGAGAGAGAGAGAGAGAGAGAGAGACAGAGGAAGAGAGAGAGAGAGAAAGATAGACAGAGTGGAGGGGAGACCCTAGGGCCAGGATGCTAGGTCATGGGGTAGGGCAGATGGGGAAGAGAACTGCTAGAGCAGTGCTATGGTTTAAACATGGTTCATCCCACCAAAACACATGTTGAGTCTTAATTGCCAATGTGGCAGTGTTAGAAGGTGACACTATTAAGAGGTAGGGCCTAATGAGAGGTGTTTGGGTTATGAGGGCTCTGTTCCTGTGGACAGCTTGATCTTTTGTCACATTATGAGGTAGCACAAAAACTCACCGTAAGTAGAGCAGATGCTGCTTATGCTCTTGGGCTTTCCAGGCACCACCACAAACATGAGTCAAATAAACCTCTTTTCCTTAAAAATTACCTAGTCCCAGGTATTTTGGTGCACCAACATTCAAAATGCACTCAAATAAGCAGCAACTGGCTTTTGCCTATACTAACAGGTCAGTAGTAGAGGCTCAGCAACTCCAAGACTGAAGGTAAGTGAGGTAGGCACAGACTATGCAGCCAGTCCCAGAAATCCCAGGAGTGAGCTCCTTAGCCTCTTTTTGCACCGCACTGTCTGTTTCACTAGTGGAGTGAGTAGTGGTGTGATGAGAGGAGGACCACAGGGATCAAAGTAGTTATGAGATCTAGAGTAGCTCTGAGGAAAAGTTGGACAAAGTAATAGCTAAAGTGATGTCAAAAAGCCGGGCTCGGTGGCTCAGCCTGTAATCCCGCGCCTTTGGGAGACTGAGGTGAGTGGATTACCTGAGCCCGCGGGTTCGAGACCCGCCTGGGCAACTTGGCGAGACCTCATCTCTACAATAAAATAAAAAAAAATTAGCTAGGCGTGGTAGCGCTCGCCTGTAGTTCCAGCTACTTGGAAGGCTGAGGCAGAAGGATCGCCGGAGCCCAGTAGGTGGAGGCTGCGGTGGCCGGCAGCGGCCACTGCACTCCAGTCTGGGTGACAAGAGTGAGACTCCAACTCAAAAAAATAAAATAAAATAAAAAATAAAGTGATGTCAAAAGAAAGATTTCAGGATTAGTGGGGGATTCTGATCTCTCCGAACACTGCTTCTTCCTGTGTAAACATATGGAAATCAGAAACATACATTTTCTACTTCCTTAGGCTCTAGGGCTTGAAGAGATGAACAGTACCTCTCAGGCCTGCACTGAAGTCCCAGAGTGAGGAAGTGAAATTAGAGGGGGAAAGAAATATGATCTGTAGTCAGAACTGAGACCGAAAAAGAACAAAAGACAAAAATGGATGACCTCCGACCCCAGGCTATAAGGAAATCTCTAATTAAGGCCCAAGTGATACTGAAAACCATTTGATCAGGTATCTCTCTGCCCCATTCTCAAGTCCCAGAACATGGAAATGGGACCAAGCTTTGTTAGCCTCCAGTTTTCCTCTGATTGAGACCTCTACTTCAGAGGAAAGAGAAAACTTATTTTAAAGTAGAAGAGAAGCATCTAGCTCCCACTTCCAGAAACAACCTCTGTGGCTCTAGTAACTAGAGTTCTTAACATTACACTCTCAGAAATGGCTCTATCCCTGAGGGGGGAAAAATTACTTATTGGTTCCCTTTGATCCTAGCCAGTTCATCTGACTGAGCCAGTATTTCTCAAAGCTGCCATGAAAGAAATTCTTAAGCAGCAGAAATAATAAATGTATATATAAATGTATATACCTAGGGACAAAGGAGGTGAGGTAGAATGGGGTAGGGGAAGATAAGTAGATGGCTGCAAGCCAGTCATAATTTCTTTGAAGTCTCAGGTTTAATCTTAATCATTTGTGCAAATTTTACATTCTACTTTTTAAATAAAAAATTTTAGGGCAACTCCTTTGGGTTCCCTCCCACTGTAGGAGCTTTTCTGTCCTTTTAATAAATCCCGTTCAAAAATTTTTTAAAAAAATAATTAAAAGTAAAATTGATGCTCTAAGCTGCTAAGTCACATTCATCTCACATCTTTGTTTCCCTCTTAGAACCTGACACATATACCTAAAGGAACTAGAACTTAAGTTTTTAAGATACTGGCTTAAGAAACTGGAGGCTGTAAATTCTACTCAGCCCCACAACACAAATCACGACAACAGACTGTGGAAAATTATAGGGTTAAAGCAACATAAACTGGAAAACAGAGGTCTAGTGAGCACAAGAGACTTGCCTATGAGAAAATCCTCACTAATTATCAGGAGCTTCTGGATGTAAGAAAGAACCCCCTTTACATCTTTCTTGCATGTGGAGGCAGCCTACATCTGAGATTAGTAGAGGGGTGGGGAGATCAAGTCAGTCCTGTAGCCCAGAGCCTCCCTCCTTGTATCCCCCATGCATCTGAGTAAACAAGCTAGTGATGTCATCAGCCACTTCAGAAGTCTAGAACAGAATCAGGAAGCAATGCTGGAGCCTCGAGAAGAACTCCATGAGAAAGGATGCACAAAACTGCATCAATGCCCAAACACCTGAGGTCCACTGAGATCCCATTACAGGTTTGGCAGTAGCCACCCACTTGAAAGCAAATCAGTATACAACTGAAAAGCTCCAAGAGGGGGTACCACCATTGCTATTTTTGTTACTCCACACTGCCTGTGATCAAGTGGCCACCTGCTCTATAGTGGAGAACACATCCAGCTGGGGTTCTAACTTTTAGAAGCAGGTAAAAGGTGGGAGGGTCTCAGAGGACACAGTTGACAAAAGGCATTGGGAAAACTGAAAATACTATATGACCTGGTTCAAGCCCCAGCTATACCACTTCCTAGCTATGTGACTTTAAACAGATCTTTTCACCTCTCTAAGCTTCAGTCCCTCATCTGTGAGATGGGGATACTACTATTATAATAGATGTTATTATATAAAATAAAAACAGGACAAAGAAAAGAAAGGTTTGCCGCCCTCAATGCAGTTGTCGATTCCCAAGTACTTTACCAAGCCAGAAAAACTTTCTGATTTCACAGCTCCCTCATCTGAACTCCCAGATCAACACTACCTACTTATTTAGCCCTTAATAAGAACAACCAACATTAGAATGCTTGCTATGCACCAGGCACTTTACTTATTTGAGGATTAAATCACAAAATCTTTGAGATTACTGTGATTACCATTTTACTGAGAAAAGGAAAGTCCTAAGAAGCAAAATGAGCCATTCAAGGTCACACAGCTGCATAGCAGGACAGAACTTGAACCCAGGGCTGATTCTAAGTCTTAAGGATGGTTTATTTCATTCTTTGTGGGAAGAGAATTGCATGTGCTTATCTATGCCTCTATAGGTAAGGAACTCCAAGTTTCTTAAGGGCAGAGATGGTGTTTGACAGAGCAGACCTTCAGTCAATACTGAATGAGTCACTGAATAGATAAGTGAATGGATGGTCTGAGATTTCACCTCTCTCCTAGAGCTCAAAGACCTTGAGGGAAGGAGACAGGTAAAGATTTCTCAAAGTGGAACTCAGTGGCAGCACTGCCCTTTAGTAGCACCTAATCCCAAGATCAAGGGCCCTTTGAAGAATCTCAGGCTTTAGAGGTCAAGGCAAGTAACGAAATCACTTTAGCAAAACATGTTCTCTATCCTCCCTAGCTGTGATCACATTCACAAAAAGAAACAGAGGTAGACAGGAGGAACTGTGGGATCTACTTCCCTTTCCCACCAGTCTCTGGGGCTCCTCAAGCTATGACATTCCATTGTTGCCTGTTATTTATCACCAGTGCCAAGGATAGTGCTTCCTCTCCAGTCTGCTTCATTTCTGGTCATTGACCAGATGATTGCTGGGTTCCAGGATGGCCCAAGAGCTTTTGCCAATTCCTCCCAAAGAGTCTAGCTCCTTCCTCCCAGGTTCCGGCTCCATCAGGAAGGCCTCCATGAATGATGGGCTTCAAAGGCCAGACCAAATGGACTTCCTTCTGTTCACATTTCTCAACTGCCTGTGAACACGTGCCTCTGTGAATTTCTATTCCTGACTTGCCTTGGCCTCAAGAGGGCCAAATACACAATTCTTGTGTTGAGTTCAGATCTTTATCCCTGTAGTTTTCACCTATGGGGGACCCAGCTCTGCCCTTCTGACCTCACAAAACATAACTGCTTCCTTCTTCCTGTGACAGTCCCTCAGAGGTCTGAAGACAAAGGACACATCTTCCTTGAGTCTGTTCCAGGATAAACAGCCTCATTCACTCCAAGCAAAGTTGTGCAGTGGGTGAGAGTATAGTTTTGCAATCAGAGCTGTATTCAAAACTCCATATCACAACTTACTAACTATATGACCTAGGGTATGTTCTTTCACCTCTCAGAGGTAGGATCATTGTGAGGATTAATGATAGCCAGGGACAGTCCATAGTAGGTGCTCAGTAAGTGATACATCTCAAGCCAACACTGATATTCTGAATGAGAAGTCATGAACTTCCTGTTTCCTCCCTTTCCTCTACCCAATGAGTACGACAAATTCAAGTCTTTTAAGAGCTTTGTTTGGGAAGAAGTAGCTTTCAGAACAAGTACACCAATCTGGCCAGGGATCTCTACCACCTAGGCTTCCCTCAGAATCATACCTGCAGTACACAAACCAAACCAACACTAACGAGAAATTACCAGGCCTTGTAGCTTTTCAAGCTAATACACCTCTTTGCTCCAGGCTCTAAATCATACCTTCCTCGCCTTCCATGGCCATCCCCCTCCAATGCAAATGGACAAAGCTTCCAGTGTTATGGGCAGGGAATGGTGTCATTTGGTTTAAGAGGGGGAGTGAGTAGAATCAGGGCTCTGGAAAAGAGTCTAGGTAGAGGCCAAAGGAGAGTCTGGCTCCCAACAGGACCATAAAATTCACACTGACTGATACTCTCTCCTCTATAGCTGCTAGCCAGAATGATATTGCTGTCTAAAACAAAAGGTCCAAAAGCCTATGTATTGTATGGACACCTCCTCCCTTGTGTCCCAGAGACAATAAGAAGCCTGTCCAGAAAGAGCTGTCCCCTGGCAGCTAGCCCCACCCCCCGCATATGCCAACAGCTGATCATACTCAAGTGAGGCATTTCCCTCTTTTTTACAAGAAAAGAGTTGTCTGAAATCCAAATCGTGGGAATAGAAATGAAAGAGAAAGAGATATGGAAAGCAGAAATAAATACCAGAGATAATTTTTTTGAGAAATAACCAAATTTGAGAGATAAGTTAGACATTGTACAGAAGGAAAAATGAGGCACAAAGAAAGGAAAGGTTTGTATCAGGGGAAGTTAGTAACAGCCAACCCTAGAACCCAAGATTCATGAATTTTTATCCAGTGCCCTTTCGATTTCACCAGGCTGTCCCTTTAAAAACTCTCCAATATAAAACCTGCATGCAAAGAAAGAATGAAAAACCTTAATATAATAAAAATGCATTTAGTCATTGCAGATTAACATTGTAATCACTTGTGAGCTGGGTGAATGTCAGCACATTAATTTTAGTAAATGTGTGTCTAAATATTTATCAGACTAATCTGTATGTCCACAAATTAAATATCATTCAAGGCAAAACAAATACAAAACAAACTCTAGGGAAGAAGAAAGTTTCAATTAAATCCAAAATTAGATGTTTTGAGGATCATTAAGCACATTTCCCAACTCTAACTCATTAATGAGACAAGCATCATGGTATTATAAAGAGAGCTATAATTTATTATATCACTACTACATGCTGGATTCTTTACTTGACATTCTCTTCTCTATTTGTATTTTCTTATTGTCTTTTTCATCTATTGTTAATTTATCTTTTTGGATTAGGCATCTTTATATGTCACCATAACTAGTTTTTTGGGTAACAGGCAAGATTTTTAAAAATACACTCACAAAATCCTGTGCAGTAGTTATTTAACATTTTTTTTCTTTTCTTTGTTTTGTTTTGAGTTGGAGTCTCACTCTGTCACCCAGGCTGGAGTGCAGTATCACGCTCATGGCCACTGCATCCTCTGCCTGCTGGGCTCAGGTGATCCTTCCACTTCAGCCTTCCAAGTAGCTGGAATTACAGGCACGTGCCACTATGCCCGGCTATCATTTTTTTTTTTTTTCTTAATGAAGATACTAGCCCAGAGAGGTTTAATAATTTTCCCAACATCGAGCTGGGAAAATGAGAATGCTTCCTCATCTGTAAAATAAGCCAGTACCAATTCTTGCACTCAGGGCTTTGTGAGAGTCAAATGTTTATCACAGTACCTAGCATACAGTTAAGTCCTAGATAAACGTTAACTCTCATCTGTATTAGTCACAGACGACATTTTTCCTGCTCTGTGCAACATTAGGGACTCAGAGGGCATGCCCAAGCTGTCCTCAGATTTCTAGCCAAACCCTTCCTTCCTCTTACTTGGAGACCTGAATAAAAAACAGCCTCCTTTTACTTTCATCTCCATTCTACTCGTCTTTCCTGTCACTAAGTAGGAGTATTCACAGGAATAGAATTAGACTATTTGAACACAACCTCTTTCTTTCTTCTTTTCCCCAACCCTGGGGAAATTCTTATACAGTAGAGGGACCCAGAGAGCAAAGGAGAAAGGGAGGCAAGAGAGCCTGGAGAATTTGTCAAGGTAATGTGCAGCTCCAACATCCTGGATAATAAGTCAGACCCCTACCTCACCAAAGGTCCCAGCCTCTGGAAATGAGAGGCCATTTTGCTCCTGAAAGTCTGGCCACAGATGGCACATTACCTTGGTTGCTTGGGAGTGTTTGGATGCTAAAAGATTTTATAGCTTCCACCTGGTTATTATATTATACAGCACATCCTTTCAGACAATGGTGATTCACAGTGCAGGCACACTCTTTGGATGAAGATGAGAATGATCACTTTACTGAGAGGGAGAAAGCAATAATCTCCATGGCATGCCTGCAGGAGATGAAATAGCCTCCTGCTGCATCCATCACCCCTAGTGTTGCCCAAGTCTCAACATTCTTTGAGAGACGTGTACGTAGAACTTACTACCCCAGGAAGAATAAGTTGGTTTCTTTCTACTAAGAAGGAAAAAAAAGTGACAGAGGATATGTGATGCAGTGCCAAGAATGCAGGGTTCAAATCCCAGCCAGATTCCAGCTGGAGGCAATTAAGTTATTTAACTTCTGAGTTTCATCATTAAAATGGAGATGACATCACTTGTACCAGAGTTGAAAGGAAGGCTCCATGTGCTAATGTTTTAGATCATCTAGCACAGAATCATACCTTCCTACTCTTTTCTCTCTTATAAATGAACCAAAGATAAGATTAATCAGGACCATGGAGTACAGGCTGCCAAAGTTAAACTTTGCCTCCCTTTTTATTAAGGCTGATGTCAGTCTTTGTTTTGACCTCTATTCAAGTAAGTAGGAAAAGAGATTCTCTGAGAAGAGGAAGAAGGCATGGATGGTTGGCATTGTGGTGGAAGCTATTGGGAGAAGGGGAAGAGGCTAAGGAGCAACAAGTCCCTCTCTTACCTGGTCAAACAGCTGCTTGCCAGTGGTATTGGGCTGAATGGCAAATTCCAGCTCTGCATCCATGGTGGTCACACGTACACTGATCTAGGATGAGATCAAAGAAGGCAGGTTAGTCATCTGACTCTGTGTTCAGCAAAGCCTGGGACAAGTGTCTGGTTAACCACAGAGAAGGAAACTAGAATGCTAAGAACCTAAGCAACTTATATATTGAGGGGAAAGAATGGAGAGTATTGACTCAAACAAGCAATAACCCAGTCCCTGCTCCCAACCTGCATATTGAAGACAAAAAAAAAAAAAAAACAGCCACAGAGCAATACTAACCAAGGGACAAACAAGAATGCCAATCAACCTACAATCGATTATACATCTTCCAGGAAGTCTTCCCCACCTATACCATCCAGCTCCAGGCCACAGAGTTCTCTTCTCGCCTCTGATCTAAAGTCTGGATTATCTACAGCACTGGTAAATAATTGCAAAGTCAAGTTAAAGGTGGAATAAAGAGCATTGGGTTTCAAGTCTAACACTGTAACTAGCTCAATCTACAACCTTGGATAACTTTTACCCCTTTCCTGGGCCTTAGTTTCCCTCATCTGTGCAAAGGCAGGAATGGGACAGCCAATTAAACTAGGTAATTTCCACTGTCTGTGGTTTTATACACTGCCTTGCATTGTTTTTTGTTTTGTTTTTGTTTTTTTGAGTCAGAGTCTCACTCTGTCGCCCAGAATGGAGTGCAGTGGCCACTCCCGGCCACCACAGCCTCGACCTGCTGGGCTCCAGAGATCCTTCCGCCTCAGCCTTCCAAGTAGCTGAAATTACAGGCGTGCGCTACCACACCCGGCTAGTTTTTTTTATTTATTGTAGAGATGAGGTCTCACCAAGTTGCTGAGGCAGGTCTCGAACCCGTGGGCTCAGGCAATCCACTCACCTCAGCCTCCCAAGGCGCGGGATTACAGGCTGAGCCACTGAGCCCGGCTTGCCTTGTATTGTTAATACCTCCTGTATTTATGTCTCATTGGCCTCCCCAGGCACAAGAAAGGAAGGGGGTCTCAGCAGAGGTGGGTGTGGGCAGTGTAGATAGAGGTGCTACCAAAGCCATGTCAGTGGAAGAACAAAGGGACAGGGACAGGCCCAGACCAAAATAACAGGCAGCCACATACATGATCTCATAGGTACTAGAAAAAGTACCCACTACTTTCACAAATGGATCCCCTAACTTAGGTCAATGAGAGCTGAAATTTCATAATTGGAGATTTGTTCCTTTGGCTGATGATAGCAGTAGTAACAACATGCAGCAGCTTTCATGTATTGAGACTTGCTACTCACCAGGCACTTCATATGCATTACCCCATTTAATGTCATCAATTACCCTGCAAAGCAGAGAGTATTATCTTCACAGTGGGAATAAAGAAACAGATATTTGTCTAAAGTCACATTGCTATTAAGTGGGAAAGATAGGGTTCAGATCCAGGTCTAAGTCCAAACCTCACAATTTAAACCAGTATGCTAAATTCCCCTTACAAAGTACAAGTTTCCCATTAAAAGAAAGCAAAAATTAATTTTTTAATTGTTAGACATTTTGCTTAAGTAATCTATATGGTACAACCACAAGATGACTTGATATACGGTTATATAAAATCTTTATGAAGATTATTTCATGCCCAGGGAAGATACTTTAGTAATACTAAGTGGAAAAATGTAAACGACAAGATTTCATACAGTGCATGAGCTCAATTTTGTAAAACATATATATACTGGGATTACTGAAATAATGTCCAAATACTAGTCAGGCTTGGGTTTTGGGTGATGATCTTACAAGTGCTTTCTCCCTTTTTAAATTAAAAATAAAATCGAATCTACATTTTCTAGGATGGTCACATATTAGTTATACTATTGAGGAAAACATTAGAAATAATATTGCCAAAAATGCAAATCCCCATTCAGTGGGTAAGACTTATCAGTCTTTGAACCTCTGAGACTTTCTTGAGCACAGGGGTCAAGTACCAGGGAAGAGGGGGCCAGACAGCCATTTTGCCAGCTAAATAGTTCTGAAGAGGACCAGGACCAGGGCACAACTTTGTAAATAAGTCTCAATAGAGAGCCAGAGAGGAAATCTATTTCAGGATTGACAATGGGACAGGAAAGACCCTGAAGGCAGGAACAAGTAAGACAAGTACCCCCTGTGGGAGTAAGGCAATGTTAGCCACCCTGACTTGGTACTACCCTAGGCTTCCTGCCAATCCAGTGACCTATATAGAAAGGGTCCTCATAAAATAAGAGAATGGGGCCTAGTGGGCTGGAATTTGAGGAGTCCCATACTGTAGCCAGCCTCAAATCATCCTTCAGCTGGGTCAGAGGTGACCTCAAAACACCCTGAATGAGGAGCCAGGAAAGCACAGAAAGGGGACAGTGACCTTTTTAGTATATAAGACTTCATTCTCACCCCAAACTTTATGTCTTACTAGAATTATCTTTTGTGTTTTTTAAGAAGAATTTAGCATATTAGTTTAAATTGTGAGGCTTAGACTTAGACCTGGATTCAAAACCTGTCTTTCCCAATTAATAGCAATGTGACTTTAAACAAACATCTATTTCTTTATCCCCACTGTGGAGATAATACTCTCTGCTTCGCAGGGTGATTGATGATATTAAATGGGGTAATGCATATGAAGTGCCTGGTAAGTAGCAAGTCTCAATACATGAAAGCTGCTGTCTATTGTTACTATTACTACTGCTACTATCACTACTGCTACTATCCCTACCAAGTACCCAAGACTCAGTGGGTACTTACACAAGCTGTTGGCTAAAAAAAAAAACAGGTATCAAGCAAGAGTATATAAAAGATAGACAGATATAGCATAATATATACATAAAGAGATGGTGACATTTTACATCTTGACCTTTTAATGCCATGGACCCTTCTTGCCTATCTAATGAGGCTTATGAACCTCTTCCCAGAATCTCTGTAAATGCATGAAATAAAGTAAATATAAGGAGACCAACTATATTGAAAGTTACCAAAATGTAATAATATATACCTATTTATTATAATATTAATTACCCAGCACTTATTTCAAATTTATATTGAGCATAAATTATATATTGAGAAATCTACAATAACTAAATCGTGATATAAAATATATTTATGGTGAGGCATGGTGGCTCACCTCTATAATTCTATCACTTTGGGAGGCTGAAGCAGGAGGATTACTTAAGCCTAGGAATTTTAGACCAGCCTGAGCAACGTAGCCATATCTCGTTTCTATGAAAATATCAAAAAATTAGCCTGTCCTGGTGGCATACACCTGTGGACCCACCTACTTGGGAGGATGAGGCAGAATGATCGCCTGAGCCCTGGAGGTCAAGGCTGCAGTGAGCCATGATTGTGCCACTGTACTCCAGTCTGAGTGACAGAGTGAGACCCCAACTCATAAATGAATGATTTAATAAAGTATATTTTATATATTTATATATAAATGTTTATTTTAAGGCAACTAAGGAAAAAGGTGAGTCCAGGGAAACATTCCACACTCTAAGAGTTGTTAAGAAAGTCACAAATACTATTGACATTACATTTTTTTGGTCTACATTCATAACTGAAAAAAAGGCTAAATTACGAGAGGTTAGTGAAAATAAACATATAATTTTCCTCTCTCTAAGCTTATATAACCTTCTGTCTTCAAATTCTACCCATAGACTCCATAGAGGTCTGAGGACTCCAGGTCAAGGAGCTTCCTATTTATTTTTATTTTTTATTTTAAAGATGTGGGGTACAATTCAGGGTTAGGTATACAAACGTTCATTATGCAGGTACCCTTGTTGATGAGGTGTGCCCCTCCCTCCCCTGGCAGTTTCCCACTACTACCAATCCCTTTCTTACAGTATTATAATTGTTCAAGGTCCGCTTATGAGTGAGAACATATGGTACTATGTTCTTTGTTTCTGTGATAGATCACTGAGTATGACAGACTCTAAATCCATCCAAGTTGCTGCAAAGCCCATATGTTTGTCCTTCTTGATGGCTGCATAATATTCCATTATGTATATGTACCACGTTGTTTTTATTCAGTTCTGCTTTGATGGGCAGCATGGCTGGTTCCATGTTTTTGCTATTGTGAATAGAGCTATAAATTTATTTCCATTCATCCAATATTAATGGAACATAATGTTTAAGGAACTATTGGAGTAGAGCTATACATTCTGTCCCTGATCTCAAGGCATTTACTGAAAAACAGGAAAACTACAATATACAAAAGAAATCCTGAGAAGTGCCATAACAGAAGAACAGAGGAAACCTTTTTCAGAAATTAGAAATCACGCTTCAAAGTGGTATTTGCAGTGGTCTCTAAAAACAAGTTGGAACAAGGGCTCTCCTGAAATCTGAAGGGGTTCAGCTGAACCCCAACAGGAACCTGTTTCTCTGGAATCCCTTTTCAGGGTTTCTGTCATTCTACTGTGGCTGCTTCTCTAAGGATAGCAGCCTGAGGTTTCCTGAACTTCCTGTAGAGACAAATAATCCTAGGTTAAAAAAAAAAAACCAGAAAAACGAATATAAAGGAACTTCCATCCTTGTCTCCACTTAACTCAGAAGAAAATGTGAGTCCTCATGGGGAAGCTAAAAAAGAGTTGACCTCATAAATGTAAAAAGTAGAACAGAGGTTACTAGAGGCTGGGAAGAGTAAGGGGGAGGGGAGCGGATACAGAAAGATTTGTTATAGAATGCAAAATTACAGCTAGATAGGAGGAATAAGCTATGATGTTCTATAGTGCTGTAGGATGATGATAGTAAGCATTTTCAAATAGCTAGAAGAAAGAAAACTGAATGTTCCCAAGACAAAGAAACGATAAATGTTTAAGACTCTGATTTGATCACTATACATTGTAAGTTTCAAAACATCACCAGGTACTCCATTTAAAAAGAAGAAAATATAAGCCATGAGGATAGAGCCATGGGTCTGTGCTCTCCTGTTGTGTGTGTGTGTGTGTGTGTGTGTGTGTGTGTGTGTGTGTGTGTGTGTGTGTGTGTGTGTGTGTTGGAGGAAGGGAGGGGGAGTAAGGATAATAACCTAACCGGGGCCTGAAGGTGA